AGAGGAAAAACTCCCTTTAAACAGGATCAAACCTCCAGCAGAACCAGGCTCAGTGTGAGCGGCCATCTGCTGAGGCCCACTGGGGTTCAAAGAGACAGAAGCAGAGATTCGCTGGTGAAGATTCTCACTCATCGACGTCACAGTCATTCCAAAAAACTTAAAAAAAAACAATCCATTGAACTTTGTTTCCAAGTTTGAAGATGTTTCACTTCCCACACAGGAAGCTTTTTCAATTCCCTTTTACAGTTGCTGCCTTTTACATGACCTTCCTCATGCTGAAAAGAAAGAAATAATAGTCTGAAGTTGCTGGGACAGATCCTTTCCCTGCACTGGGGGCCCGGCCTACTCTTTCAGCGGAGCCGTTACGGCCTTTTTCACAACTTAGTGGGCAACATGCTTGCAAGGATTATTACAGGATCGTTCCCCTCATTAGAGTGCTGTATAAAATTACATTAAAAGACATTAAAAGATTCGAAGTTGGAACTAAAATAAATGAACAGCAAATTTTTTTTTTCTTTAGCATATTGATCAGTTACAGTAGTAGCCATTAAAAATGTCCCCACTTTCCTTGATGGATGGATCCATCCATAACAGAAAATAGATGGATGGACGGACCGACGGACGTTCAAGATTTCTGCCTCTTCCACATGCAACAACACAAAACCCTCAGTTTCTTTACAACCACAATATGTTTGGGGGAGTAATTTGACCTCTATGGTCCATTGTTTTGATACGATGAGATCTGAAAGACCGTTAAAGGACGCTGTAGCGTCCCGGCTAATTGGTGGGTGACTCTTTAACTGATGGTTCATATCCCTTTATTTTAGAACGGTCATTGAAGGCACATTTAAAGTTGTAAATGTAATTTACAGTTGCAGAGCTGGTTATATATGGAGGACCAACTCTGCCATATTTAAAAATAAATACATAAATAAATAAATGCTCAATAAATATATAAGCGTACAATTAATTGCCAACAAAAACACAATCAACGAATAAATGTAAGTAGAAATGAAATTATACAGTGAGACTCTTAATTAGCTTCTTTATTTATTTGCCTTTGTAATATTTACCTTATTTATTTTTTGTCCTTTATATTTTTTTTACATTTCTGTCTGCATTTCTGCCTCGTTATGCAAATGAGGAGGGGGCGTGTCCTAGAGAGTCAACTTCTGCTCATTGGTTGGCGGTTCACCTTCTTAACTGACTGAGCTCAGAGTACTAAGTTAAATGTTCTCTTTTCTGTTGCTGTTGTTCAATAAAAGTACATTTTAAGATCATTTGAGGAGAGAACATTATACTTTAAAGCATCGCCATATGGCCCATTCACAGACTTAAAGCGTAATTTTAAAAAAAATGTGACGAATTTGAGAGGACCGCGGCAACCAGCGGAGCTCCGAAGCTAACGTTAGCCCGTCTGCAGCGGCCCTCTCTGGGCATAGCCGTGTGTGAAGGACCGCTGGCTATGATGCCGATTTTTTGTTGTATTTGGCAAACTCCCTACTCGTGTTCTAATGACTTCAGACTCAACATCAGACTCTCCTCCTGTAGATTCGACCGATGTAGTAAAATGCTAACCAACACGCTTCACAAGAAGCTAATTAAAAGAGTTATATACATTTATGTCTCACTGTATAATTTAATTTCTACTTACATTTATTTGTTGATTGTATTTTTGTTGGCAATTAATTGTACGCTTATATATTTATTGAGCATTTATTTATTTCTGTATTTATTTTTAAATATGGCAGAGTTGGTCCTCCATAGTTATATTCCTGTCACATTCAACTGCAGTTGCAGAAAGAGTTTTCTCCTCAGCGGGAACGCCTCGGCTCTAACTGGAACTTTCTTTAGTCATGGCAGTAAAAATCTTAGACACTGAGCCACAATATAGGAGCCATCTTTGCTTTCATCAAGGCATTGAAATAAAAATATACAACGCAAAACATATTTTAAATAAATATATCAAATTGTTATGCAATGCAGTTAAAAATTTATTTAGTTTTTTTATCTACCGTCTTAAAATAAATAAAAAAAACAGTTTTTTAGATGGAGGACAGACTTAGAAAACAATGAAGAATTTTTTTTAGGTAAAAAAAAAATATTTCCTTCTATGTGTTTTATGTAGTGGATGATTGATATTTGTGTAAAACTATGTTACACAATCAAATAGTTTAACCCTTTAAAAACAGCAAAAGGAAAATATTACCACCACTTTAAACTAAGTGTAAACCTGCTAAAACCTGTATTTCTATAAAATACTCATTAAAAACATTAGCTGGGTGTTTGTAGTTTTAACCATAGTGATTAAAAGACAGTGTTGATAGTCTAAAGAGCCACTTGCAGCTGTTAAATCACAGGTTGCAAACCCTAAGATTAGAGTTACCATTTCCTTCCTCAGGACAAACTAAAAGTGGATGCAGTGATAAGCAGCAGCTTTAAGGTGCAGGAGACGTGAAGAAAGAAGGAGCCAAACAGCCGATGAACACGTTTAACCCTCCAATTGGTTGAAGGCAATCAGCCCTTTTAAGGATTTAGGGAAGGAAAATGGCTTAAAGAAATAAATGCATGACGCCCACCTTAATGATTCTATCTCCTGTTTGGACACCAGCCCGCATTGCAGCTCCATCTGTAACAGAAAAAACAAGAAGAATGAGATATTTGCTTCAAAAATGAGCTATACAAATCTACGTCCCCTTCAGCCTTACCTTCTTTAACCAGCTGCACAAACACTGGGTTGTCGCCACTTACTGTCAGACCAAAGCCATTTTCATCTCTTTGGATTATCACACAGCGCTGGACCAGACCTGCCATTTTAAAACAAGAACATTTAATTAAGTTAAAAGTTAACGTTGCCAATTAAATCATATTCATGATACAAAAAAAAATAGTTTCTAAGTTTAGAGCCTGTGCTCTGTTGGTGTAGCCTGTGGAGGGAAGGAAAGGATGCAGGAAATGACAAATCGACAGAATAAAACAAACAGAGCTGCAGGAATAGCAGCAACAAGAGTCACCGAGACTCAAAAACTGGAGAATACAAAAGAAATTGTTATTATTGAACGCAGTGGAGTGAGTTTTACAACAATGTGGACTGAGGGAGATTAAATAAAGAAAGAAGTCTTCATTAAAGACAAAAAATGGACTACCTGAGCTGAATAACTAAAGCCTGAACATTGATTGATGTCTCAGACACTGAAGCTGATTTGGAAATGGATAAAGCAGATTGAACTTTACCCTGAGCATCTTGAATTAACCTTTTAAAAAAAAGAAAGATAAAAAAGCGGGGGTTAAATATTCTGCAGAAATGATGTCAACAACTTTTTGTTGGATGTAAAAACCTTTGATGTGGTATTTGTGAAAGGACATTTAAACAAATAGTGGAAGTGTGTATGCAGTGAAAAAACTAATGAATGGTAACGAAAACTACCAATAACTGCTGGGTTGTCTACGACGGAGTATTAGGGCCAGGATAGAGATTCCTTTTTTTTAGTTCAAGAATAAAGTCGCAACATTACGAAAATAAAGTCGTAATATTACAATAATAAAGTCATAAAATTACAAGAATAAACTAAGAACTAAGTCATAACATTAGGAGAATAAAGCTGCAACATTACCAGAATTATGTTGCAACATTATGAGAATAAAGTCATAAAATTAGAAGAATAAAGTCGCAACATTACGAAATTAAAGTCGTAATATTACAAGAATAAAGTTGCAACACTACTAGAATTATGTTGCAACATTATGAGAATAGAGTCATAAAATTACAAGAATAAAGTCGCAACATTACAAAATTAAAGTAGTAATATTACGAGAATAAAGTTGCAACACTACGAGAATTATGTTGCAACATTATGAGAATAATGTCATAAAATTACAAAAATAAAGTCGCAACAATACGAGAACTAAGTCATAACATTAGGAGAATAAAGCTGCAACACTACGAGAATTATGTTGCAACATTATGAGGATAAAGTCATAAAATTACAAGAATAAAGTCGCAACATTACGAAATTAAAGTCGTAACATTACAAGAATAAAGTTGCAACACTACTAGAATTATGTTGTAACATTATGAGAATAAAGTCATAAAATTACAAGAATAAAGTTGTAACATTACGAGAATAGAGTCATAAAATTACAAAAATGAAGTCGCAACATTATGAAATTAGAGTCGTAATATTACGAGAATAAAATTGCAACACTACTAAAATTATGTTGCAACATTATGAGAATAAAGTCATAAAATTACAAAAATAAAGTTGCAACATTACGAAATTAAAGTTGTAATATTACGAGAATAAAGTCGTAACATTACGAGAATAGAGTCATAACATTAGGAGAATAAAGCTGCAACACGCCGAGAATTATGTTGCAACATTATGAGAATAAAGTCATAAAATTACAAAAATAAAGTCGCAACATTACGAAATTAAAGTTGTAATATTACGAGAATAAAGTTGCAACACTACTAGAATTATGTTGCAACATTATGAGAATAAAGTCATAAAATTACAAGAATAAAGTCGCAACATTACGAAATTAAAGTCGTAATATTACGAGAATAAAGTTGTATGGTATGACAACTCTTACAAGAAGCACTTACATTGCAACATAATTCTGATCAATGCGCGCAACTAAATTCTCCATACAGGAGCAACTTGAAGCTGTCATTGCTAACAAAGGCATTTGTACTAAGCATTAAATACATTCCTGTGTGTTTAATACATTATCATTCTGAAATTTCACTTTATTAAACATAACTTCATTTCAGGACATCTATGGTTTGATTTCTTAGCATGTGTGGATTGCATGGATTGAAAATGTCATGTCAATAGCAACTCTAGAAATATATTTACTGAGCAAACTGGTGGCGTGTTCAATACTTATTTCACCTGCTGTATGTATGTTTAATCTGTGCCGATTAGTGAAAAATCATCACAAGTTCAAATCTGTGCACCAAATAAATATTTTTCTGATTTATTGAGGTCCATCAGGTTAGTTTCATCATTCCAGTCTAAAATAACTGTTCATATCTACCAGTAAAAGCCCATAATAAAAATATAATTGATTGTAATGAGAGTGTATGTAAACATTAACCTGTTACTTTATATAAAGCATTATTTGAGTAGGGTAAGTCCCTCTCAGATCATAACAATAAAACACTGTCACAAAAAAAACTTTGATTCCATAATGATGTAAAAATGCATTAGAAAACTTTTTTTTATCCAGTTGACAATGTATTAAATTACTAAAAAATGAGTACAAACCTTTCAGAACCACAGCAACTTATCAGTTGCTTCTGCTGATTAACATACAGGTTCACAACATTCAAATCTACAACATGATGTTGAAAACATCTTGTTGGAACGAGTGCAGGATCTGAGACATATACAATCTGCTGCCCGTTTTTCACACTTGACAGACTCTTCTGAGAGAGCTGAGTGAATAAGCGGTTGTCTTCTGGACTCCATGAGCAGCTTCAAGTCTCCAGGGTGAACAAAAGGCCATGAAGGATGAATGTCAACCCCGCCACCCAGGCAACCACCCTAACAACAGTCGGACCTGTGCCAAAACTTACAACATCCCTGCACATCTGTACAACAATCCCAAAGCTAAACAATGGAGGATTATGCACGTTACACTGTACAGACAAAAAAAAAAAAATATGCACTAGATTTTACAAAGACGTACGAAAAAACACACAGAAACAAGCTCGGTGCTAAAACGACACAGCTGAAATTCAATTTGAGCTGAATTGATAAATTATGATTATTTTTAAATAATCTGCCAACTATCTTTTGTCTATAATAGCGGTGCAGTAAAGACAAAAGATGTATACATTATCCCTCTTCCTCTCTATTTATTTTATTCCTATTCCTCTCTATACCGATTTTTTTAAACAACATTTTTCCCTAAAGCAATAAGGGGAAATAAGCTACACCTGTGGAGCCCTTATTTATTTATTTATTTTTTTTT